GCGTTGCCTGAATGCGTCGACTTCGCCGTCCTCGTGCTCGCGCTCGGCCAACAGTTTGGCGGGGTGGGCGCGGGCTGACGCCAGGCGGCGGCGGCGGCGGCGCGTTGCGCTGGCCGCATGCCGCATCGCGGGGCTGGGCTGGGGCGATCATCGCGGTGGCGCCCAGCCAGCTCCTCGGCCTCATCTGAGGCCCCGCCGCGGTCTGCTCGGTTCGGGCGGACTCGCGAGACCGCACCCTCCGTACCCTTCATCCTCCTCCTCTTTTGCGTAAGAACGATGTTGGCCGAATGGTCATTGCGTCTGGACCTCTCCTCCTCCTCCTCCTCCTTCCCTCCTCCTCTTCCTCCTCCTGCTCCTCCTCCTCCTCCTCCTCCTCCTTCTCCCTTCCTCTCCTCCTCCTCATCATCATCATCATCATCATCATCATCATCATCATCATCATCATCATCCATCAGCATCATCATCATCATCATCATCATCATCATCATCATCATCATCATCATCATCATCATCATCATCATCATCATCATCATCATCATCATCATCAACAACATCATCATCATCATCATCATCAACAACATCATCATCATCATCATCATCATCATCATCATCATCATCAGCATCATCATCATCAGCATCATCAGCAACAGCAGCATCATCATCATCAGCATCATCATCAGCATCATCATCAGCATCATCAGCATCAGCATCGTCATCATCATCATCATCATCATCATCATCATCAGCATCAGCATCAGCATCATCAGCAGCATCATCATCGTCATCATCATCATCATCATCAGCAGCATCCTCATCCTCATCCTCATCCTCATCCTCCTCTTTATCATCATCACCACCACCACCATACCCATCACCATCACAATAACCACCGGCATCACCGTCATCACCATTATACCACCAGCAGCACCACCGTCACCGTCACTGGGATCATCAGCATGACCATCAACAACATCACCATCACTGGCGATCCGCCGATCCCCCGCTTGCCAGTGGCGAAGAGGCGTGCGATGCCTCTGGATGCCCCCCTCCCCCGTTTCCCCCCTCCCAGGGGTCCAGAATCCCGCTCTAGGAGGGGGGGGGCGGGCGGGCTCCTCGTCGCACCCCAAGGGGGCTCTCGACAGAGCGCCGAGACGGTCCAAGAGAGCGTCGAGACGGCCCAGGGCAATGGGACGCACAGAGACATACTAATACTATATTTGGAGGCGCGCGTCCGACCCGAACATGTAGTATATCCATCTTGTAGTATATCGTATCCCGAGCGGTGTGACCAGAAAGCGCCCGCCACGACGCATATACTATAAGATTTCTCGGTGCGCGCGTCGCCCCTGGGGGGGCGACGCGCATATAGTATAAATATGTTGGGGTGATACCGAGGCAAGCCCGCGACGGCCCGAGATAGCTACAAGGCAGCCCGCGAGGCCCCCGGTACGGCCCAAGAGTGCTCCCAGAGGACCTCCGAGAGGGCCACAAGACGCAGAATTGTCTCTCTCACACCTCACACACACACACACACAAACACACACACACACTGAAGAAAAGCATACATGTTCGACATACTCGCCTTTCTCGTCTTGGCGGCGTCCAAGACGGCCCAAGGGGTCCTCTCGATCGTCCCAAGACCTCCCATGAGGCCTCTAAGAGGGCCCGAAGACGGCTCAATACAGCCCCAAGATGGCCCCACGACGGCCCCAGAGGTCCCTAAGGCGGCCGACGAGACGAGGGCCGCACGAGAAGCCCAAGAGGGGCAATACGAACTGACATCTCGAGCCTTTCCCCTCTCATGGCCCCAGAAGCCCCCCAGAGAACCCCGAGACGCACCTAAGGGGCCCCCATTGGGGGCCCCTTAGGGGTGAGCGTGAACAAAATCAACCAGCACTCGAGCTCCAACATACCCTACCGAACGCCCTGGACATCTCTACTCCGCTATGGGGGAGTCGGAATGGCAGAAGCCACTTGAATCATCAGCATCATCAACATCATGATCGTCAAAATCAACGGCGGCGGCGGCGGAGGCGGCATCGTCGCCATCGCCTGTATCACAACATGCATCGTCGGCTCAGGTCATCGTGACCGTCGTCTTCGTCGTCATCACAGTCGTAGCGTACTCACCATGGATATCATCGTCGCCGCTGCCATCGTCACAATGAATATCATACTACGAATCGTCTAAAGCATCACCACATCGGCGTGTGAGTTTCAAAGGGCCTGAGCTACAGCCTACAGCCTGAGTTTCAGCTCTGCTGGTGGGGGGTTCTGGGCGGTGCTGGGACAAATTCCCACCCCAGACGTGGCCGCCAGATATTTCCCGACGGCTCAAGATGCATCCAAGATGGCCCAGGATGCCCTCCAAAAAGGCCCGAAGAGGCCCAAAACAGTAATTTCCTATATGCTTTTGAAGGATTTGTGCGCTTTGTTCTTTTCGGCCTTCCGACAGCCCCAGAGGCCTCCAAGATCGCCCCAGAGGCCTACAAGATCGCCC